GGAAAGGGAAAAGTTGCCTCAATAAAATATATTAGTTGCACTTAGTGTTCATTTTACCTAACAAAAAAAATCTCTTCGTACTCTCGGCTTTCCACTAGGCTATAATTTACAAAATTTCCTACCTAATAAAAAAGTTTAGAAAATTGCCCGAGGTTCATCATCTTATGTAAACCACATACTTAAATTATAAATACCATGTGTAGCAAATGCAGCACACCTGCCGTGCGTCAGGTGTGCTGCATTTACTGATGTTCCCTGACGCATGGTACACAAAAAATGTAAATATAGCAGTTGAGTCAAACTTAAGCAGGTTGTTGAGAAATTTCCATGCTGCAAGCTAAGGAAATTAGCCCACCTACACACACAGCCGGTACATTTTCTACGTAAGCTGTGGTCTAAAGCCATAATTTCAGTCAGTTTTTATTTGAAGACAAACGGATGCGTGTTTGTGGTATATCTGTGAATGCACGCTTTTAACACTCCCGCGGCCCGGTCCATGAAGAGGCCTCATGGTGGATCAGGGCCTGATCAATCAGGATGTTGTGTTAGGTTAAAGACACAAGTGCAACTAATGCGACACTTTAGTGTGGCAACGTTTCACTCTCCAGGAGCTTTATCAAGCCGATACAAATAATGGAAGGACACAGGGTGAATATAGGTACACAATGACGTGCAAAGCTCTTGATTAAAAAAGTTTAAAATCTATCTACCCATTTTTCCCGTTATTCCTTTATCACGCTTAAATTTGCTACTGTGCTCTAATGTCTCCAAATTCGCAAAGAGCCAAGTGTCATGATGTTGAAGGTATCATTGTTACTTTTGATATAGGGAATTCGATCTGTGCTCCAGTTCCCCGAATTAAGCCTGAATGCCTTCCACATCCCCCCCTCGGGCGCTGTATAATCCTACGGGTTTAGCGCTTCCCCTTGATTATAATAATAATAATTCAAACCACAACAACAGAAGAATCACACTTCTATAACTTTTCAATTATTCTGAGCCTCTCATTTGAGAGTTGAATGAATCCATTAAGCTCTTCCTGTATGTCCACCCTTTCGAGTTTATCGTTTAATTTGATTACATTATTATTGTTATTATTATCTTCCTGGATATCATTACATTAATAAGGCTATTATTTTGATGGCAAGTTATAAATTGATTTAATTTCATGTAATAATTGTTTACATTCTTAAATGTTGTCTTGTGCAAAGTGTCAATCAAAGGCTCTTAAGAAAATATTACTATTATAATTGATTTGCTATTACAAATCAATTACAGAGCAAGCACAGTAAAAACTGTGCTTGCTCTGCAAACACAAGAGAGACAACTAGCCCTCCTTCAACCAGCTATCACCCCCTCCCTAAACCCTCCAGTAAAATAATCCTGGCCGCGTTCCTGGGCCCAAGACAGGCAAACCAACTTACAGAGTAATGAGAATGTATTACCTATGTTCCCAGAAGGGCAAAACAGAAGTGCAGTAGGTCAACTAGCCCAAACAAGGAAAGAACAGGTTAGCAAGAAAGAGGAAAGTCAAAAGACATGTAAGGCAAAGAAAATGCAGGAGACAAATGAAAGGGAATGGAGAGGTCTTGTAGGCTCGCCGGTTAGTCCCGGTCTGGGTTTTCTCCGAATGGTCACCCGGCTGGTCAGTTACAATAATAATAATAATAATAATAATAATAATAATAATAATAATAATAATAATAATAATATGTGCTTCTTCAGTATTTGTGTAGTCACAGTTGATTATTGGTCACTGCCTGTATCTTGTTGCATATTGATTATGTTTACCTGTACCTAAGTTTTAAATAAAATATAATTAATAATAATAATAATAATAATAATAATAATAATAATAATAATAATAATAATAATAATAATAATAATAATAATTTTATTTACTACAAGTACATGTACAAGATATACAGGCCTAGCTGACATCAATGACATACTACTATATAGAAAGCTGCTTGTTATGCTGAGCATTTTGGGAAAATTAGGTCAGTTTTGTCCCAGGATGCGACCCACACCAGTCGACTAACACCCAGGTACCCAGTTTATACTGATCTGTGAGCATGAACAGCAGGTGTCTTATGGAAACACGTCCCTAATGTTTTCCAACCGTACCGGAGATTCGAACTTCGGACCTCAATATGTGAGTTGAGTGCGCTAGCGATCGAGCTACGGGTCGAGTGTTCTAAAGACTGGAACATTTGGCAATATATTGAGAAAAGTAGCTGTGTACAGAAACAAAGCCAGGATTAGGATATATGTTAACAAAGTTGTGTATAAGGGCTGATTCAACAAGATGGCGTCTTTCAAGGATAGATGGGTAGATAGTTTAAGCAGAGGACAAATAAATACTACAGCAACTTATACAGTTACTACTTCTGTTAGTAGTATTTCTTTCCCCCTCCCTACCGCATTGTCATCAGACCTTCTCTATTTTCCTCTCCCCAGTTGTGGCTTGACACTGGTCCAAGACTCGCGGGAACCATAGCGTCTTGGTACAGGGGAAGTCTTCTTCAAAGCTATTACTAACAACTGGGTTTGGTTGGTGTCATTGGGTACGGGAGTAAATTCTTGGATAGCTTTGGGTAGAGGTCGTTTTGATAAGGACCTGCCTTGCATGGGCCAGTAGGCCTTCTGCAGCGTTCCTCCATTCTTATGTTCTTACAAGAACTACTTCAGATAGTTCCAGACTATGGAACTGAACTTCTCCAGGCTGAGGGACTGACAACCTCAAATCTACGACTTTAAGGGTGATGGACTGATTACATCGTCTTCACAGTGCTACTGTTCCTGCCAACTTTCTGTATTCGACTGAAGAATCCTACTGTGTAGGCGAAACGTTTCGGAATAAAGTTGCCTAACTGTTGCCTATGTGTCTTACCTACCAAGAACTACTTCACTAGTGCCCAGCATACCTGTGTCCATCTCCCACTGATAAATCTCGCTTCCAGCTCCAGTATGTAAGTCTCTGGCCTAATGCCTCTGCTTTAAGCTAATCAACCGTCCAGGATACTTACTATCTCCAGTTGAAGGTGGTCGATTGTGAGTAGGCACTATGATGGCCTTCTGGCACTCATAAATTCCATCAATACAACCTTCTATATTATTCTTACTGAAACATGGCTTAAGCAAAACACAGTAGACATCTACATCCTACCAGGATACACAGCAATCCACAATTGCAGGCCAGCCAAAACTGTGGGGGGGGGGGAGTTTTTTCCCATCTACTTTTCTAATGCCCATTATGTTGTAACACCACTACTTCAGTGATGAATAATAATTATATATTTGCCAATTCTCTGTTCTTTGCTGCTTCTAACGACTGTATGACATTTGCACAGTCGTTTAAAGAGGAATTATGCAACCAACCCAGCCAGCTGGGGAAAAACAAACCAGACATTTTTTAAGTAGAAGCCGGCTCCCAACCCAAACCACCCCCCTTTTTGTTGTATTACTAGTCAATGCAATCGAGAAAAAATTTAATCCTTGTGGCTATTTTGCGTTACTAAGAGGGGTAGTTTTGTGTGGGAGTGTGTAGGAGCCAGCCACACTCGTTCGTCATCACAACGACACTATCCAGGGGGCAACCCCCCCCAAAATTTTTATATTACGGTGATCAAAACTCCACACATTCTTGCTTTGTTACCTTCTACCATCTCCATAATCAGTATTGATTCTGGCCCCCTCAATAAAATCGGAAAAGTCTGTTGGTATCCCAGCTATGAAAAAATTGGCCCAGATTCATCGACTTTGTGACGAGGCTAGTACCGTTTTGGATTGTCAGCCATCAGTGTGAGCCAGCTTATGAACAGTTTGTGTTAGTGTAAAATAACATCCAACACTGTCCTCATCATTCCTGCCTACGATTTATTGCAACCTCCAATCAACGACATTTGTGTGTTTTAGAACATTTTTAATTGCCTAAAGAAAATTTTTGTTGAAGGCTAGTGATTCATGAACTTTGTCTGACTCACCCTCAATGTAAATTATTTTGTTGTTATTAATACCTCTTGGCTGAAAACATTAGGATGTGTTTCCACAAGATGCCTTCTGCCCAGTGTTCACCCATCGGTAAAATGGGTACCCGGGTGTTAGTCGACTGGTGGGTCGCATCCTAGGTCAAAGTTGACCTAATTTGCCCGAAATGCTCTGCATAACAAGCGGCTTTCTATATATTAGTGTCAGCAAGGCCTGTATACCTTGTACATGTACTTGCAGAAATTGTTATTATTAACATACTCATGGTGTACCTATGTGATGTAATCGTCATGTCCGAAAACATGGAGACTCGTCTCAAAAGGCATGATATGGTACTTGATAATCTTGAAGCCCTTTAATAGATCAAACTATCTAAATGTCAGTTTTACAGATCAGAGATTAAGTTTCTTGGTCAAGTAGTCACTCTTAGAAAGGTTATGACTGACCAAAGTAATTACTGTACAAAATTTTTGATCTCCAAAAACTGCTGATGCTGTAAGATTGTGGGCTTAACAGGTTTTTAAAGATCTTTCACTGCAAGCTGCTCTTCAATCACAGTTCTGAGTTGTTTAAGAAGAATGCTCCTTTCATCTGGACATTCCATCAAGAAAGAGCATTTCAAACTAAAACAATAGCTAACTTCTGCTTCTGTTTAGAAATTTCCATATTTTTCAAAGCCTTTCTATCTAACAAATGTTAGTGCCATTGGCATGGGTGCCGTCCTAGTTCAAAAGACCGATAGCAAGTACAACTCAGTTGTATTTGTTACTCATGTCCTTACCAAGGTTGAACGAAATTAAATAGTAAGTGATCAAGAAGACTTAGCATTAGTGTGGTCTTTTAAAACACTTCCAAAACATCACATATCAATACCCTGTTCATGTCTTGACAGATCACGCTCCACTGATTCTTCTATACCAGAGTAAACAACCAAATGGAAGATTAACCAGATGTAGTCGCAAATGTTTTATCTCAACACAGTACTGTAGTAATGAGAGACCACCTCCGCCTCAAGCCACCACCACTGCCACGAACCAATCAGAGGCCTCGCTGCCCGCCGAGCCTCCACCTACTTCCACCAATGAGAGACCACGTCCACCTTTCACCACCAACCAATCACCGACCTCATCTGCCTCTGCGACCAAGCGAAAAAATTCCTCGGCACGCCTATTGTTGCGTTCTACACCACTAAATCACACAATAACACAATGTTTGTGTGGTTCAGGATAGGACTGTCAAGTTCACCTGTGACAAAGAACCACCCATTGAGCTCGCCGAAATACTCCACAACCTCCACAATCCAGGACCAAATCCAAACCTCCCATCCATTATTGTACAAGCGAGCAGCCCATGTCCTTTCGCATGCTATTACATTACTTTTTAACAAATCACTAGAAACTAGCACTTTCCCGACACTACTCAAGACAGCAAGGGTTACACCAATACATAAAGGTGGTGACCCTACAGACATAAACAACTATAGGCCAATATCAAATTACCATTGCTATCCAAAATCCTCGAGAAACTCGTGCACAGGAGACTAGATTCATTTATAACGGCACAAAACATACTCAACCCCTGCCAATTTGGATTCAGGAAAAATAAAAGCACTAATTATGCAATTATAAAAATGCTAGACCTGCTTTACAAAGCATTGGAAAATAAGGAATATCCGCTAGAAATTTTTGACCTAAGAAAAGCGTCTGACACAGTAGACCACGGCATCCTACTCCACAAACTTGACCACTATGGTATAAGAGGCCATGCGCTTGCATATTTTAATTCCTACCTTTCTAATAGGTATCAATATGTCACCATTAAAGACACAGCCTCATCAATACGGCCACTTGATACTGGAGTTCCGCAGGGAAGTGTCCTTGGACCCTTGCTCTTCCAAACATATCCCAACACCTGAAACCCATTCTCTTTGCTGACGACACGACTTATGTCATCTCCCACCCTAATCTTGCTACCCTCAACACCATTGTTAACGAGGAGCTGCTCAAAATATCGACTTGGATGACAGCCAATAAACTTACACTTAACACTGGCAAAACCTACTATATTATGTTTGGTAGCAGAGCAGGTGTTGCGCAACTTAACATTAAGATCGACAACACTCTAATTGCCAGACATAATGAGGGCAAATTCCTTGGCCTATACCTCGACAACAACCTAAATTTCAGCACCCATATCCAACACATAACAAAAAAAAGTATCCAAAACGGTGGGGATCCTCTCCAAGATACGATACTACGTATAGCAAACTGCCCTTCTCACACTATACCATTCACTTATATATCCATACCTCACCTATGCTATCTGTGCTTGGGGTTCAACTGCAGCAACACACCTAAAGCCAATAATAACCCAACAAAAAGCCGCAGTAAGAATAATCACTAAATCCCATCCCTGGCAACACCCCCCCCCCACTCTTCATAGATCTAAACTTACTCCCTGTTCAGAACATCCACACTTACTACTGTGCAATCTATATCTACAGAACCTTTAATTCCAATATTAACCTTGACCTAAAACGCTTTCTTGATAGTTGTGACAGGATCCACGGGCATAACACCAGACACAAACATCTCTATGACATTCCCCGTGTTCGACTAAACCTTTACAAAAATTCAATGTATTTCAAAGGACCTAAAATCTGGAACACCCTACCTGAAAACTCTAGAACTGCAGACACATTCATCACTTTCAAAACTACAGTTAGAAAACATCTTATCTCCCTGATCCACCCCGACAACTACCTACATGAATACCACCTGGTGGTTCAAAATTACACTCACTCACCCACTGAATATAAACCCAGAAATACTAATCTTAATCTTAAAATAAATCCTAACTAGTCATAAGTTTGCCTATGTTACTCAAATATAGACACCTTGTATTGTGCCAAAGCAAAAGCGTTCACATTGCTAAACTCAAAATTATGATGTAGTCACTTAGCCTTAATACTATAATCTGTAAGGACTTAATGTTAAGAATTAATCTAAGTCTGCTCGAAATGCCTAGCCATGCTAGGTGTCCTAGTGGCCCCCTCCGTAATTAGCATTTTATAACATGTAAACCACAAAATACCCAAAACCTGTAAACCCCACATTGTAACCATTATAGAGAATAAGCTTGAATTGAGTTGAATTGAATTCAAAGTGCGCCATCTGGCAAGAACGAAGTTCAACAATCTCTCAATGGCTCAGTTGTATAACTAGCTTACGACTGTTCACTGCCTAGCTGAAGATCCACTCTACCCTTCTACAGCTGTCTTCTCTGCACTTCCTGCCGTCACCTGCCCGCCTCCTGTTGTATGACCACTCTCTCCTCGTCAAATGCTCACCGCCACCCTCTCACATCGCCATCGACACCTGCAGTACTTCGTTACCACTTACGCCATACTGGTTGAGCCACTTACCTTCCTTACCCTCCTCTCCTCCACCCTCCCATCCTTTTCCAGTATTTCCATCCTTCCCCATCCTTCTTCCTCCCCATCTTACCGCA